TNNATATATATATGTACATATGTATATGTATATATATATATATATACATATATATATACATATGTTCATATGTACATATAAATTTTGTATTTCAAGTTTCTGATATCTCCTTGTTTAATTCCTTTCGAGAACATACATAAATTATTGATTTCAGAATACCAAAAGTCCAGCATTCACCGCGTCGCGACAACGATGAGGAAAGGCGGCAAAGGAAAAGGCGTTGGGAAGAACACAATGATGAGGTGTTACTGTTTATCTTTACTTTTCAACTTTACTATCATAATTTTGTATCGAACCTGTACTCAGTTCTCATCGTTACTTGTTACTTGAATTATCTGTTTGTGATCTGTCAATAGCAGAGAACGATGAGTGCATTCTTAGAAAATTTATTTGATAAACTTTCTACTTATGGGAGGAAAGTTCATAATGTTGAAGTAGTTACTGTTAATATTTCATAATGTTTTAGCAGGAGTTTCAACAGACACTTGTTGAAGAACGACCTAGGCCATTGAAGGAGGCTGTTGCAGCTACTCATGTGACACCATTGCCAATAACTAAACCTGTAGAGCCAACGCGTCCTAATGATCAGCCTCATACGTTGCGTCAGCGTGTCGAAAAACTCATCAGTGTTCAGGAGAGCGAGGTAAATTTTTTGGGGTATGGATGATTTCCTACTTAATTATTTCTTTTGATTAAATTATTTAATCCAGGCTATTAATATGTCCGACAAAGAACTTAGAAATTTGATAGCACGAATGTGTGACCTCAGTAAGGAACAGCAACGATTACAGCGTGGTCGACAAACTCAGTATGAGTAAGTGGTTTAATATTATGGGTTTCCCCACACTCCATTATTTTTAGTTGAGAATATAATGAATTATCATCTTATGTCATGAATCATATGTACCACAAATTTGAATTCACCTCTTAAGTCTATCATCTTTGACTCGTGGATAGATTTATGGCAATCCATTCAGTGATTTATCATTTTTCTATGTTCATTAAACAATAATGGTTGATTTGTTATTTATATCCTTATACAATTTCACAGTACACTGCGAGAAATATATATGGAGGTGAAGGATGATATTGAGAAACTATACATTCGCGTTCCGGTGCATTTGAGAATGGATCTTCCGCTTCCACCCCAAACTTTGCATCCTTCTGCTTCATCGTCTAGTGGTATTTTATCAATTCTCATGTTTGAAAGTACTTCTTTTGCTGGAATTTCTTCTGCTTTTATTTGCCTTTTCGCAACCAGTGATGTGTAAGACGAACTATTTATGTGGTGGGAGGAAGTTCATGAGTGACGATTATCTGCAGAAGGTAAGAAAAACTATTCATTTTGTTCTGGTTGCTTATTTTTAACATCTTTACAGGTTCATTACAAATGAACGGAGGAACGACTGCTTTTCAACTGGAGCAACGTTTCCGATTACCAAGTCTTTTCGACCCACCCCAGGTGGTCACGAATGCAAACATACGGTTGAATCCTGGTAATGATCCTGAAGTCAATGTGCGGAGTGAAGAAAGGTACGGCGGCGGTCGAATGGGATTCGGTGAAGTCGGAAATGTTTCTAGCGATTCGCAGAGAGTATTGGGTGGTAAGAATGGGGCAGTTTACAGTGGCGGATTGAATGAGCACGGAATGTTCGAAGATATAAGTCGAGTTGGAGTGGGGAGTGGTGGTACATTGCTAAGGAACGATGGTGGGTCGAATTCAACTGCTGCAGCCGATCGTGTACCTCACACAGGTTCAAGTTCGGAGCAGGCAGTACATTCTATCAACAGTAAGAAACCGCTGTTTCCTGGCCTGAACGGTCCTGCGCATTTAGATCAGTCTGTTTCAATGATTCCTTCAACGAGCGCATGCGATCTCAGTCTTAAGCCACTATTTAGCAGGTTAAACTTCGGTGATGGTAGTTCCAGATTTTCGGGAAGCGGACTTTCTCATGAATTATTTCCGAAAATCAGTAATGATCTGCCACCTCAGATGGGTAGCTTTACTGACGGCCCAGCACCACCAATAAGCTTTGGTAATACAGCCAGTCCGAGTCAAGCATTTCATTCCATCGGACGACAAATTTACGACACTCCTGACAAATCAGCAACCTCAGCATATGCTGTGGTGCAAACAAATGCTTTAAACAAACTAGAAGCTGGAGGTAAGTGCTGTATGAATGCTGTATTAATTCATTTGAATGACACTGGAATACATGCAAAAAATACTACTGATATGATGGGGACGTTTTTAATCTGTTTTGTTATAACTACATCCTCTTTATGTGGTTTGTATATTCACTTGCAGAGAATGATAGTGGCGTACGAGCAGTAAGTCAGCACTGCTTTATGCATTCGGGATCACAAGGCCCGACTAGTTTCACCCATTCGAATAAGCCTGCTTCTCCAATGCCTGATTTCCCCTCAAATGTTTCATTGAGGTATTTGTTGCAGTTTCCTTATGATTTAGTATAATTGTTAACCTCCCTTGAATTAGAGAGTTCTCCTAGGGATTCATTTAAAAGTGACAAAATCTAACATCAAATTGCTTAAATGATACCGAATCTTTTCTAATGACATTCAACACTATATTTGTGCTTCTAGTTTTGTAAAACCGAGCCTGCCGCGGTTATTCCCTGATTCCATATAACTTGTTATTTATATTTTCGTTGAATCAACTTGACAATGAGATAGAATAAAGGCAAATGTTTACTTTATTGTTTTTTAACTACAAAAATATTTCAGGGCAGTGCCAAATTCAGTGGATACCGACAATACTGTTTGTAGCACATATCATGAAAGTCTTATTCGTTTGAAATCGAGCGAGATTCAAAATAGTGCGCAAGTACCTCTTCCAAATCTCTCCGAACCGCCTCCACCTTTTGGCACAGCTTCTATAAATAGTCCAGCTGTATTACCGAGCAAATTATCGAGTACGGTTCTTTTGAATACCATGCAAAGTTCGAATATCGTGCCACCGCAGAAAGTACCAGCATCAACTGGTTCTGCTCCGGCGTATCCTTCGGAGCTTGCAGTTGGTACCATTCAACCACTTTCTTCAACCTCCACCAGTAACGCTCTAAATGCTTTACCTGGAAACAACACTGCTCCACAGAACTTACAACCACAGCCTGGGAATGCCGTTGCCACCGCACAGCCATTAATGCCATTACATTCCGGATCATCTACCGTTAGCGTCCCACCTCCTGATTTTTCAATTCCTCCACCATTAGCACCATCATTGACTGCGAGAACAAATGTTTGCACATCTTCCAACACTACTAATTTATTAAGTCATACCGAACCAACGAGTTCTGCTGATTCAAGGACAGGACCTTCTTCAAACCTAACTCTCCAGAGAAGTTTGTCACATATGAAAGGAGGATTATTGACAAACAGTACTGTACTGAGCGGTTTACCCTCAATGAATGTTCCTCCACCTTCTTTCTCGTTGCCACCTCCTCGAGCACCAACTGTTGGCCCTGCATTTCCCACCCCTCCGCCGATGGCTGCTAGTGGAATAACTTCGGGACTGAGACCTGCTAATTTGGTATCTTCCATGGCTGTTCCACCGCCAAATCTCATATCAGGACCAGTAGGTTTAAACTGTCCGCCACCTGATATGTCTCAACCTCCGCCTAACATCCGTAGTGCGTTGGGAGTGAATAATCCAGAAAGTGCTCAGCAAATGGTCAATGTAGTAGTTGGTCAATCTACCGTGAGTGGCCAGACATCTGTAGAAGTTGTCACGGAATTAATCACAAATGCTTACAATAGAGCTGGAGGCGTTAGGCTTCATAACGATCCATCATTAAAGCAGCGAATGTCGATGACTACAGAGAACACCGTCTTGATTAATAAAATGAGGGCTCCTGCACCCGCTGGACCACCAAGGCCACTTTCTTCGGTAGGCAAGTTGCCACCACCGCTGATGCTTTCACCTGGAACTTGCGGTGGTCCAACTTCCAGAATTTCTAGTTTTAACAAACGGAAAACTTCACAAATTCGATCGTCGACAACTCGTCCGCAGCAGCGTCAAAAACGACAAATCAGCGATATGGTAGCCATCATTCCAGATGAACATGGTAATTAAGCTACATTACGATATTATTCCTCGGGAGGTCGGGTAACCAAAATTGTTATCATTTCGTTCTTTGCGACATTACTTCAAAATTTAGGGTTATTCTTTTTCAGTTTTTCATTCATGCTTTCAATTAGTAGGAAACAAAAAGGACAAATTTCAGACCATCCCAGTTCACGCGAAGAGCCAGATGACAATATTTTTCTGATAGTGTCTGATGAAGAGGATGGCAACAAGTAGTGATATAATTGGAAGCCATCACTTGTACATCAGTATTACTCACACAGATATTGCGCTTCGGTAGGAATATTTTCTAGGTTGAAACATGTAATTGGACACTTAGACTACCACTCGCAACCAAATCGGCCCCAATGTTCACATAGATAATCATCCTTACCCACCGTCACTAATAAATTTAAGACTATTACAATGCTCTACTTTTGATATTTGTATCTTTACCTCGCATGAAAGTAGGTATTTTCTCAAATTTTGATTATGACAAATACCAGTCGTAGAAAATAAACGATGTTACCGTATGTTAACCCATTAAATTTCGGTAATTAGGCGTGATTTGTAGACGAAACCCACTGTTTTATGATTTCGCTTCCCCATTATGTTCTCTTTCAGCTTGAATCATGCCAAGTGTACCTGTTTCAAGGTATTAAAAATTAGACTAACAGCAGCAAGGAATACTGTGGATATTTTGAATAGCTTTTGTTTTAATAATTGTATTCGGACAGATCGTCCATCAAAGCGTTTTTTTTCTTTATATGCACTATTGTTTTATAATTAATCGGTTTAGTATTATTTTGCTCCACTATTTTGCATCTGTTATCTATTTTTTTATTTTGGTCCAGTTTTGAATTGAAAGAATTCGTAGTGAGTGCTTTTGAAACATTTCCCGAAGACCTTAGAAGATTTTGGAATTGCCCCAACACATTTTGAAGCTATTTCAATATCTGAATAATGACCGTCATATCTTTCCACATTTATTTCAATTTTCTTTTTTTTTTTAATTTTTATATCGATTCGTGCATTTTATAATTTCCAGGATTTCGTTTTCAATATTTTGTATTTATGCTTCTTATTTTTTAACATTTCGGATTGTGAATGGGTTTTTCGAAAGACCATTATTTGTTTTTGAAACAGCATCGACTGCAAGGGCGTCAACAGTCGACAGTTTGCGACCAAATCGACTCACGATTTTATTTTTATTTCGTTTCCCTTTTCTTATCATTGGTCATATTAATATTTTTCAACGAAGATTGTGTATGACACATCGTTTAATTATATTGTGAATATATTTAAACACTTTGAAGTTGTCGTTTTGCAAGTTGTAGATTTTATTTCAATTCGATTTGCGCTTCGATATGAAGTGTGTTTTTTCTTTTTTCTTTTTC